CGGTTTTCATAAACCGTTCCATCCCTAAAATATATAGTACGGTACATTTAAAAGCTGCAATGTCATTTCCAGTGTTGATTACTACTGTGGAAGAAACACAGAATAGGTACAAAGTGTATTTAAATGTGTCGTTCTAATAATGGCTGTTTAATAATGGAAGCCTTATTGGAATAGAGGTTGGAGGTTTTTGAGAAACTTAAAAGTTTCTTCTCCATTTAGAAATTAAGTATAGATTATGTTTTCTTTTTTTTAAAGAATCAGAAAAAAGTACAAACTATATTATCCTTCTGCTTGATTATGCTTTTTATGGTGCTTGATGCCAGGAAACATTAATGTTCATAAACGTCTACATTACATGAAGTTTATTAAATACTCGGGTTTTTCTGCTGCATTTCCAATACTTTTCCATTTTTTTTTTCCGTAAAGTGTTCAAATTGCATTTTCTTCCTTCAGTTTCCATAAATATTAAATACGGAACATTTATTTGGACTAACCACTGAAGTTACTTTCTGAAATCTTAGACTATAATCTTTCACTTGATCAAGTCATCTTTTAATACAAATTGAGCTGATTGTTCTAAATAAAATGTCTATTCTTTAACTATTCAAATACAATGCAAGATTAGAGAAGATACAAACTAAATTTAAAGGATATGTATCAAACTAATTAAAAAAAAAATCTGTATTTACAGGATTTATGGGGGAAAAAATAAACTCAAATTAGCAGCAGACTAATGACCAATAACAGCAGAACTACTTTTATGAGTTAAATGTGAAAACCTGAATGTGAGAAATCAATCCTCTGGTTACAATAGTTAGTGGTGGGAACCAACCTTTTAAAGAGTCCTGTTCAGCCCTCATAATGTCAATCAGGGAGTTCTCCAGAGAGTGCATGTTGAAACCATCAAAAGACCGCGTTCTCTCCTGCAGGGTGAAAAAATAAAAAGCAGCATTTAGATGTAGCACTTCCCACTACAACAGTCTGCGAGATCTGACATGAGACAATGCAGAAAACAGAGCCAGTTCCTGCGACAGTACACTGTTAGGGGGAAAGGCATCATGTAAATCCAGATTAAAACACCTCCTAATCCAGACTGTGAATAACAATTAGAAGTCTAAAAATGAACCCAATATGGAATTGATAAACACTCAAAATGGCACCATTGAGTACATGAGCAAACTGAGGGCACACAAAGCAGCAGAGGAGCACAAGACCTCTTAAATCAGGACAAGAGGAAGCACATGTGATCAGACCAGATGATAAGACGTTTTCTCATTTAACCAAATGATCTAGATAAGGCCTAAGAACATAAACACATACACAACAAGCTTCTATTCATTCATTTAGATGGCTGAGCTGTCACGTATCCTGTTCAGCTAAAGAGGCTCGTTTGTTGCATTCGACACAGCCAGGCATGCTAAACGGCATTAACATTTGCCCCTGAAAGCCACGCGAGATGTATACACAGTTTACACAAAAATTTCTCACTGATTCCTTCAATCCGCTTCATATAGATTTAGATAGTTTTCTACAAACCTGGAAAGAATAGACGCTGTCGTTGCGGTTCATGCTGTCCTCAACCCAGCCCTTGTGATTGATGCCAGAGGTATTTCTGGGGAACTTCTGCGAGGGAATCTGGAGAATATATTGCAAAAAATATTAATTCTTATTAAGGTGAAAATCTGACCATGTTTACTACTTTGATCTGAGTTTTTAGCCACCTGGTTGTTGGGGAAAGATTTCTTCAAAGGGGAGTAGGAGTTAAGGCTAGCCACCCCTCCTCCTATGCCCCGTCGGTACTCTCGAACCCCTTGTGTCCCTCCCCAGCCACTGTAGCCACCTGGACTCCAAGAGGTGGACGTAGGAGTGGACAGACTCTGGTAGCTTCCCCACGGAGAAGGGGGTTTGCTTTGAGCGGGAGCGAGATGGGGCAGCTGGGCGAACGGTCCGGCGCGATGGGGGTGTGGCGGGAAGGAAGGTTGGTGTTGATGCGGACTAGCCGGGGAGCGGCGGTGCTGCTGCGGAACCCCCTGACCGTGAGGATGGGGCGTAGGGGGGTGGTGCTGGGTGACTGGTCCGATCTGTGGGGAGAAACTACCTCCTACGCCAAAGCCTGGGCCAGCATGGTGGGAGAAGTTCTGAAACAGTAGCGGTGGGCCGTTTGCGTTAGAGCCAGCAGGACTGAAGAAAGCTCCGACATCTTCCCCAACCACAGGAGACTGGTTGGATGGAACGGCGGGGGACCAGTTGTTAAAGCTGGTCAGTGAGGATGGGGACGGGGTGGACTGCGCACAGCTAGTAGCCATTCCCAGGTTGTCCTGGTAGTCAAAACTGCTCAACCCAGGAGACTCTATCCTTAATTTCTCCTTTCCGACGCTACTCTCCAGGGAACCCTTCTCTAATGACCCATCGTCAGGATGAACTCCATCAAGCTCTGTTAGGCCTCCTCCAACCTCCTGCTGGCCTGGAGACAGAGTCTGAGGCTGGCTCTGGACTTGAGACTTCTCCTGCATGTCTTGGAGGTCCAAGGCTTTGGACTTGTCCGATTCCAGAATCTCATCTTGCATGTTACCGTGCTGGGCTACAGAGGGAAAGAGCCAAGCGCTGCCCCCATTGGTGGAGCAGGCGTTGTTTACAAAGGAAGGAGGGCTGGGGGGGTTGGAGGAGTCCTGCAGGTGCTGTGGCTGAAGGTGAGGAGGAATCCTGACAGGGAAAGCAGATTTGTTACCACCACCGTTCTTCACCAGAACTCCAAAGCCGTAGTCCCCCATTTAGGTAGATTTTCAGCTTTCACCGTCTTCTTTATCCTAAAACAGGGAGAAAGAGGCCGGATTAGATGAACGTCATGTTAATTTGATCACTGTTAAGACAATTGAAACAGGCCAGATGTAGAGAAAGTGTCTTTGCTGCAGGGCTGCCTGGTCTTGTGATGCAATCAATGAGATTAAATCATTGACTGGCCTGGGCCATGGGAGGCCTGGGTGAAATATAACACTACGGCAGGCTCGGAAAACACCCAGCCTCACCAAGCCAGGCTGCTGGACGCCTGCTCTGCTCAGGCTGACGTCTCCAAAAGGTCGTCATGCAGCTAGCAGCGAAGCTAACAGCTGCTCATGCGCCCTTTTCATCGCGCAGGGTCCATTTTAAAGCCCACTCAGACGAACACCACCTACATCCACCTTCTAATGTCGCTTTTACCGCAGTGACCCCTCCAAAGGCAACCGTTTAAAACGAGGCGAAAGTGTCGGTGACGTCCCCAGGGTTAGAAGCCGCTAAGCTAGGATAATAGCCGATAACCCAGCAGACGTTGTAACGCATTTGCAAAGCAGCCAGAAGGCAATAAAAAAAACCACCTGAACCGCTTTAACGTCTCTCGAAATTTCGCCACCGTCCGCGGAAGCTTTATCGGTGGCAGGTTTAGAAACGGTTCCCTGGTTCTTTAAACGACCTCGTCTGTTTCGTGTCCTGAACGTTCAATGTCACACAGACTTACCAATCCTTGTCATCATTTTTTTTTCTCACGTATCAAAGCAACGCAGCGAGGCCTCGACCGCGGCTCCACCGTATAAACAACCCGATTAAAAAACGCGTTACTTCAGAGACAACTACCTTCAGTTCGCCGTCATGACCTAATCGTTAAGATGTTGCCATATTTTAGCGTTTTCCCTTTTTCTGGGTTTCCTAAGCAGCCGGTGTGAATGGTCTCCTCATTCTCTCTTCTAGATGACAGCTGGGCCAGTGGGAAGACACTTCCGCCTCTAATCCCCGCCTTCAACCCCCTGCACCAGCCAATCAGTGGAAGGATTTCCCTTATCACCCCGCCCACATTGTATGTAATCTGCTGTCTGATTGGATGAGTGTAGTGAGCGCACGCCCACGTAACCTATCCTCAATGAATGGCAGTTGCGTCTCTTTCCAAATAAGTAGGATGTCATTAATACAACTTGTAAAGAAAAAACAAAAAAATGGCTTATTAATCAAAAATTAGAAAAGAGTAAATTAAAAAAAGGGA